GAAGAAGGACAGCAGTTAGCCCGGCAGCTTAAGGTAACTTACATGGAGGCATCAGCAAAGATTAGAATGAATGTAGATCAAGCTTTCCATGAACTTGTCCGAGTTATAAGGTAAGAAAAACACATTTCTAGAAGCATGGTTTAATGAATTACCATTAAATCTTTTTAGTAAGAAAAAGGAAATTTTATATAGGGGTGATTCCTTTCTAGGGGTAAATGCACATGGTATGTTAAAAATTTTAATTAAGTACATATTCTAGGTACTTCCAGTATATAAACTCTAATGTTACATTGAAGTAGAAAGCATGTATAGAGAGCTTGAAAGAATAAATGCAGTACCAAAGGTCATGGTGGTGTGGATGTAGTGATGTCAGCAGCTAACATTTGAGTGGTAATCTCTTCCAGAGATTGTGCTAAATGCTTTACTTACATTTTTACATTGAATCCTCACCACAGCCAGTTAAACTGAGTACTTTGTTTTATCCTCACTTTGAGATGAGAAAACAGAGGTACAGAGAAGTTATATAGCTTGTTCAAGGTTTAGATATCTTAAATGGCAGGACTGGGGCTTGAATTCAAATCTCTGATTCTGGAGCCTGTGCTCTTAGCTTTGCTTCTTACCTAGCTCCTCCCAGGGTAAAAGTAAGCCAGGGAGTAGAGATTCAATAATCCTACAAGGTGTGAAGTATAACATCCCACACCACAAAGAGTTTTTCTGTTAGGTGGCTTGGGGGGGGCCCTGTGGTTTAGAAAGTGTTAATGGGTTCCAAGAAGCTTGAGGTGATGGTGAGGTCTGCTAGAGTTACTATATATGTTTGTGGGTGAGAAAGATCAAGTTACTTTAGTAGGTGGAGTTTGATTTGATTATTTTGAGTCTTGGTGGCTTGGCCCCTACTTCACCCTCTGCTCTCTAGATCTACTGGGATTCTCTGCTAGTTAGATGGTTTGACAGGAATGTGGAGTGGACTCTTTGTGTATTGTGTAAGGTGAATTGACACCTAAGCTATGGTCTTGTACTTGTTAGCCCCTTGCCAGGGTTGTGCGGAAGAGAAAACGTAAAGGTTGTAAATTTGGGGGTTTTAGTAGTTGGTTAAAAATCCCAGTCTCATTATTGTTTAATAGGTACAGAGTTCTGGAGACAGATAGTGGTGATGGTTGTCCAACAATGTAAACATACTTTATGCCACTACATTGTACACTTAAAAATGGTTGAGATGGAAAATTTTTTGTTATAAGTATGCCTCAGCCCCCGTTCCGTTCCCATTTTAGTATTAAACAACTGATGGAACAATGCCTTCATAAAATAATTATTACTGCCTTTTTGAAAGAATTTGTCCTGTCTTTTGATCCCTAGGATCTATCCTTATCCACCATTCAATCCGGAGTGAGGAGCGGGTGGAGGAGGTTTTTTTGGCTTTTTTTAATGCCAGGCACTCTCAGGCATATTTAAATATCAGAAGATCTTTAATCCTCATAGAAACTGTGAAAGGTAGATTTCAGTTATTCCCTTCTGAACAACTGAGGCTCAGAGAGGTCAACTAACTTGTCTAATACTGACTTTAATAAGTGGCAGAACAGGGATGAGAACTCCATACCTCGTAAGGGTGCTTTACTCACTTGTACTCTAGTGATGGATGTTTATGCTTAAGCATACCTTAGAGTCATGGAATTTCAAACGGAGAAAGGAAGTCAGGTTGTTCAGACAAGTATCTCATGTGATTCAGGATTCACTCACTAAAGCAACTTAGCTCTGCTTATGCTGATGTTGAAGCGTTTGTGCCCTTTCTTGAGGGGTTGGGGCAAATATTTGCTTTGATCCTTAGTTAAAATTTAACATCGAAACGCATATGCACTTAAATTAGACTAGCTCCCAAATAACTTGCATTTCTAATAGTAGATTACCAAGCAGGCAGTTATATTTTAGACTTTTCTATCTTACAGGAAATTTCAAGAGCAGGAATGTCCTCCTTCACCAGAACCAACGCGGAAAGAAAAAGACAAGAAAGGCTGCCATTGTGTCATTTTCTAGACTCCCTCAAGTTTTAGCTACCAACTGCCAGGAAAAGCCCTCATTTTCTCCTCTCCTTACAGTTTACATCATGTTGGTACCTTTCTAGCCTTAGACAAATGATCACCATATTAGCCTTAGACCAAGAAGGTGGCTAATTCTTTCCGTGAAGCTAATACAATGGTCATTTCCACACAGATTTAAAGGAAACACTAAGGCTGCTTCAAAGATGATCTGATTCCTTTAAAATACATGTCTATATACACAGACACGTTCTTTTTTTAAGTGCTTACATTTTAATAGAGATGAATCAGTTTTGGAACCTAAGCTGTTTGCCAAGCTGAAGCCACAAGTTGTGAAATAATTTTTAACTTCTGGAATCATATTGCCTACTGTTACTCTAAATAGAAATATATGGAGTTTTTTTAAATGTGAATTTTTGCCTATCTTTAAAAATTTCAATATCAACTTTAGTTAACCTTAAATACACTGAATTGAATCTACAAAAGTGAAACGTCTCAGACCTTTACTGATGCTACAGCTTTTGTTTTCCAGTGGCCAAAATACCAAAATGCCTATTGTATTTATGGATTAAAAACTGCTTGTAAAAACCCTTGTTATTACTCCTACTCTTGAAGATGATTATATTCTTTGTGGCCAAATATTTGGACTCATTCTGGACTTAGGCATTTCAGTGTACTTGATTTTTTAATTTAACCCTTTCACAGCCATGCTAAGGGTAAAAATGAGAAATATCTGTCTGTCTTCCTTTTCAAGTATTCTGGATAAGGGATTCAAAAAAACTAAAACTGTTTTTGTTTGATGTAATATAAAATATGGAATTGATCTTTCCAGGGTCAGAGATGATTAATGTTTTTGCTATATACTTTTATACATTATTTTCTTATCAAACTAGTTAACAAGTATTTTTATATGTTTGTAAGGAAATATGCTTTCACAGCATACCTTGTGTATATGTAAAGATAAGTATTTAATTCTCACTGTTCACTTTTAACTGACAGAGAAAAAAAAATGGAAACTACAGAAACTGTGGTAGAACTTTCACTTGCTGGTCTGGTCCTGGTCGTACCCACCTGTGGCCAGTCATGTATCTACTCAAACCTTCCCAATAGAGGACAACAGGATGGACTCTGAAATCACTTTCAATATCCCCTACTAGATATTGACTGTTATATCAAGTATTAAGTGTAAAGCTTTTAATTGACAATTAGTATAACTGTGGATGGCTTCCGATTTTGTTTTTAATTCTGTGGATTGTGTTTAAACAATTCAAAGGTATGTTCCTGATTTTGAGATACTAAGTGGTATTGCACAGTTGTCACTTTATTGAATGTGTACAACAGTCCCATGAAGTTTATAAAGCATACCCTTGTATAGCTTCAGGTGCTAGAATTAAAATTGATCTGTTATCACAAGACGATGCTCAGTTACTCATTTTGTTTTAGTGGTTTCTTGAAGGAACAAATGATAGAGAAAACTTTTTCAGTAGCTCTGTGCCTTTTCTTAACAGTGCTTTAGGGTTTGAATCTGAAAGTCCACATTGATCATTCAGCAGGTGAAGCTGATGTGAAACAGTTTGGTGTTCTTAGTGATATCTTGAATGTTTCCGTGAGCCAGCATTTCTTAAACTTTTCTATGAAGTGCTCCTAGCAGAGAACCCTAACTATAGAGGAAGGTGAATAGATACAACCCCACCCCACCCCGGATGAAGCCTGAAACAGCTGAAGCAAAGCCCACAATACTTTTATTTGAAAGCTAATAAAAATTATAGAATTTTACTTTGTACTTCATAATATAATTACATTGATGTAGAAATATCTTTCCTTTCAGGTCTTCTAGTAAAATTACTGCCCAGGCCCAGGAGGATACCACATTTAACCTGTGGCTTTTGATATCATATCACTGTCACATATCCTTGGCAGTACTTACAGTTGGGATAGTTTTTTGTCATGGGTAACTCCAGATAACAAGAGGTTGCTTACATAATATCCAGACTTAATGGAAAACCCTTCAAATTTTATCTTATCTCAGTTTACTTTTCTCTTCATGCTTCACTTGGATTATTTTTGTTGCTATATCTTCAAGCTCTGTAACCTTTTCTTTTGTGATTGTTTAATCTGCTATTAATCTTACCCAATGAATTTTTATTTCAGACTTTGTTTTTTCCCTCAAAGTTTTATTTGGATCCTTTTTGTATATTCTATTTATCTCCTCATTATGTTAATATATTACTCTTAACCAGCTCTTCTCAACTGGGTGCCCAGAGAATTGAGTCCTAGTGCCTTATCTGTTGTGTGTTATGATTAACTTCTCACCTGTGCATTTAGAGTGGTACTAGCTGATACCATCCTTGGGGGAATTTAGAAAATGGTCACTCAACTTTCCATGGGACTCAGTTCTCTCATGGCACCCCGTTGAGAAAGGCTGCTTTGAATAGTCGAACATTATTATAACAGCTGTTTTTTATAACAGCTGTTTTAATGTCTTGGCAGATCCCTTTATCTCTGATTTTTGTATTTATCTTTATTGACTAAATTTTATTTAGTTATGGGTCACATTTTCTTGGTTTTTCATATGTTGAGTGAATTTTGGTTAGATAATGACATTGTATATTTTATGTTGTTGGGTGTCTAAATTTTTTTGTCTTCATAGGAAGAATTTTGGGCTTTGTTGTGGTAGTCAGTTAATTTACTTAACTGCATCTCAGTTTGATACTTTTAGGTCTTCTTTTAAGCTTTATGCAGTCTCAAGTAGACTTTTTCTGGGATAGTTTAGCTCTACTACTAAAGAATGGCCCTTCTGGGGGTCTCTACTGAATGGCCCTGCCTGATTAATAAGGACTTTCAAATTTGACTTGTGGGAACTCGGTCAATTCCCAGCTCCATGTGAGCTAAGGGGAACCATCCTTTTCACAGTTCCTGGGTTGTTCTTTGCCCATCCTCCTGGAGTTTCACTCTATACATATGTTTCTTAATATTTAAGAAAGACTAATTGACCCTATGCATGTTTTTGGAGCTCTTTTTCTGTGTAGCTCTCTCTCCCTTCCTGAAACTTCCAGCTGCTTCAAACCTTGTGATCTCTAATGTCTGTCTTTTCATCTCAGGGAAACATTTGTGCCCTGGTTGGAATCTGCCATCCCCTTCACAGTCTGGAATGTGCCTCTAGGTAGAAAGCCAGGGCAGTCTTAAAGCTTACCTTATTTATTTCCCTTTGTGCTGTCTCCAATGTACAGTGTCTGAAAACAGTTGTTTCATGTATTAATATTTAGTCCAATTTTTTAATTGCCTAAAGTAGGAGGGTAAATCTTGGTTCCTGTTACTCCTTCATAGTTGAAAGTTGAAGTCTCTGCCATTTGATTTCTATCATAAAATCAGACGTGCCTTGTAGCTGTTTAAATCTGTGACTTGAAAACTTTTCTCACATAGAATAGCCATTATCATGGCATGAATAGTCCTTGTCTTTCTGGCCATTTATTCTCTGTAGCTGGGGGTTGGCAAACTTTTTCTGTAAAAGGCCATATAGTAGATAATATTTTGGGCTTTGCAGGCCATATGGTCTCTGTCCCAGCTACTCAACTTTCCCATTATAGCAGTGAAACGGCCATAAATAATGTGTAAATGAATTAATGTGGCTGTGTCCCAATAAAACTTTATTTGTATACACTGAAGTTTATATTTTATATCATTATCCAATATGTTATGAAATAATATTCCTTTACGTTTCCCAACCATTTACAATTGTAAAAGCCATTCTGTACAAAAACAGATAATGGGATGGATTTGACCCATGGGCCATGGTTCATCAATCCTGCTCTGTAACACATTTAGCACTTGAGGTTACATTTCCAATGTTAGAATGTCTTATGCCTCTTTGTTTATGTGGAAATTCTTTCAAACAGGATTTTCTGAATGTATGGTCATGAATTCTGTCCTAGGAGTTTTCTCCCTATATTGTTTGTTTAGGGATTTACAACATTGCAGAATTGGACACTGTGTTCTTATTGACATACATGTTACATTGATGATTATTTAAGTTTGAGGCTTCAGAGTTTTATAATATAAATTCATCCTTAACCTTATAATTTGACTTTTTTATTTCAAAATATTATGGGGGTACAAATGTTTTTGGCTACATGGATTGCTTTTATAATGCTTGAGTCAGAGCTATAAGTGTATCCATCACCCAGATTGTGTTCACTGTACCTGTTAGGTAGGTTTTCGCCCATACCCTCTTTCCCCCTACCCTCTGCTTGATTTCCACTGAGTTTTACTTCCCTCTGTGCACATACGTGCTCATCGGTTAGTTCCAATTTAATAACACATACATGTGCTGATTGTTTTTCCATTCTTGTGATACTTAGGATAATGATCTCCAGTTCCATCCAAATGGTTGCAAAAGCCATTTTTTTATGGCAGAGTAGTATTCCGTGGTATACATACACCACATTTTGTTAATCCACTCATGAATCGATGGCACTTGTGTTGATTCCACATCTTTGCAGTTGTGAATTGTGCCTCAATAAACATTCAAATGTAGGTGTCTTTTTGATAAAACAACTTCTTTTCCTTTGGGTAAATACCCAGTAGTGGGATTGCTAGATCAAATGGTAGGTCTACTTTGAGTTCTTTGAGGAATCTCCATACTGTTTTCCATAGAGGTTTCATTTGACTTTTAAAATTTGATATAACAAAGTTGTACATCCTTACAGTCTAGCCCTGCTCTTCTGTTTATCACCACTTATTTTAATTCATTTTCTTTCCTTTCCCATTGCTATACATTATGATCCCATTGAACAGATGACTGACAGGCAGATAGAAGGAGACGATGATCAAATGGTCATTCTCAAACTCTTATCACTTGACTGCTTAAGGGTATTTAACCAGTGACTGCTTCTAAGTTTTGCTTTGTTTTGTTTTTAGCAAAAAATGATATTTTAATTAAGAAATACTTGACTGAGCAGATTTCTTTTTGCAAGGCCATATTAGGCATTCTGGGGAAATGGATAGACGTGGAGCTTTTTCTTCTTTCAAATTACTCTAGTGGAGAAAGTTTTAGACAGGCAACATCAAATGCTGGGTTCCCTCTATTTTAAAGTAAAATATGAGAAGCATGAAAAAAGTGTTGTCAGGTCCAGCAGAAGGGATGTCAGTATATATTCTTCTTGGATAATACAAGGGTGCTTTTTAATTAGAAGTGGTGTTTTGGCTGGAGCTTGATGGACTGTAGGATTTGAGATGAGTTGGAGAGGAGACGAGTGAGATGGTGGAAAGGCTGAGGGAAAGGCACAGAGCTGGCAGAATGCAGGGTGTATTCTGGGACTGGAACCTTGGTCTAAAAAGATTCTATGTGCAATGGGGAAAAATAGAGACTGGGATGGTGTTATGGGGGGCTTTAAATAGGATTGACCCTTCTGTATATAATGGGAAACTGCCAAGGATTCTGAACGGGGGGTGCCTGGATCTAATCTAGTGGTAGTGTGAATGGGCGGTCAGGTAAGAGGTTGTTGGAGTCATGGAATCTGTCCTCTTAGTATCATAAACTTAATGAGGGAAGAACCATGTTTGTTGTGTTTACTGCTTTACCCACATTGCCTGGCATGAGCAGAAAAATAGTTTAATGAATGAATGATTTCAGAGAAAGATAATGAAGGCCTGAACTGCAGTAACATGGGGGAGAAGGGGACTGAACGCTAGAGGTATATCCAAGATGTTTGAGTCTCCAAAATACTACGGGTGGGTGACCAGGTGGTGCTATTAATTAAAGTGAGTATAGGCAATTCTATAGTGATTTTTTTTTTTTTGGTGACAGTTCCATACAGGGTTAGTCTAGGAGACATTTGGGGATGGAATGCGGATTGGAGGTCAAAAGAAGAGGCTAGGACTAGAAGTGCAGATTTGGAGTTTCTTTTTTTTTTTGGAGACAGTCTTGCTCTGTCGCCCCAGGTAGAGCACAGTGGTATCATCATAGCTCACTACAAACTCCTGGGCTCAAATGATGCTCTTGCCTCAGCCTCCTGAGTAGCTGGGATTATAGGCATGCACCACGATGCCCAGCTAATTTCTCTGTTTTTAGTAGAGGTGGTCTCCTGAGCTCAGGTTATCCTCCTGCTTCGGCCTCCCAGAGTGCTAGGATTACAGGTGTGAGCCACTGCGCCTGGCCAAGTTCATCTATTTTGAGCTAGTGATAGGAGTGGATAATACCCACTAGAAAGAGTATGTTTGAGAGCGGATCCAAGGCTTAAACTTTTTGGGGAAAACAGACATTTGGGAGATAGAAGAATAAGAGGCAGCAAAAAGCCCTGAGAAACAGCCAGAAACTGGAGATAATCAGGAGCCTGTACTGTCCAAGGAGCTGGGAGAAAGCATTGAGAGCTGTGCAGAGAACGGGGAGTAAGAGGCAGCTCTCATCATTTATG